GGGCACGGGCGGGGCTGGGGGCCCCCCCCCCCCCGCCCCCCGAGTGCACAAATTTTTGTGCACCGGGCCTCTAGTATACCATATAATTTTACTTACATTTTTAATCTTAAAAAAAGAGCAATAGACTGATAAATACAAAGAACAAACTAATGGTTAACAGAGTGGAGGGAACTGGGGAGTAGATAAAAAGGGTGAAGTGGACACTTCTAGTTATAAAATAGATAAGTCATGGGAATATAATATACTCTACAGGGAATACAGACATTAATATCTATAGAAAAGCCTAAGCGACCGTCGCAACCGAAACAACCGAACGGACGATGGAACAGCAGGCTGCGTGGGGCTACCAGGCTGGCAGGGCGGGCAATTGGGGGCAACAAGGCTGGTGGGTGGGGGTAGTTGGGGGCAATCAGGCCAGCAGGCAGAGGCAGTTAGGGGTGATCAGGCTGGCAGGGGGGCAGTTAGGGGTGACTAGGGCATGAGTCGGGGGTGGGGGTGCAATGGGGGGATAAGGACACATATGTAATACCTTAATCAATAAAGAAAAAAATCCCCTAAAAATAATTCTTGAAAGCATTAGTTATACTAACTTAAAATTGGAGATAGGCCCATCCCAGACAAGTGGATTAAAAAGTTTTGGTACAGCCCTAGCTGGTTTGGCTCAGTGGATAGAGTGTTGGCCTGTGGACTGAAGGGTCCAGGTTAGAATCTGGTCAAGGGCACATGCCAGGGTTGCAGGCTTAATCCCCAGTAGGGGGGGGTGGGGCAGCCAATCAATGATTCTCTCTCATCATTGATGTTTCTATCTCTCTCTCTCTCCCTTCCTCTCTGAAATCAATAAAAATATATTTTTTAAAAGTTGTGATGCAGAAGGGGAGGGGGTGGGACCAGGGTAGAGGGGGTCAATGGGAGAAAAAGGGGACATCTGTAATACTTTCAACAATAAAGATCAATTTTTTAAAAAAAGTTGTGTTGCATTTATATGATCAAATATTACTCAGACATAAAAAATGAAATCTTACCATTTGCAATGGCATGAGTGGACCTAGAGGGTATTATGCCAAGTGAAATAAGTCACACAGAGAAAGACACATACCACATGATTTCACGTATGTGGAGTCTAAAGAACAAATAAATAAACAAATAAAATTGAAACAGACTCATAGACACAGAGAGCACATGGTGGTTGCCAGAGGATAGGTGTGCTGGGGAACTAGGTTAAAAAGGTGAAGGAATTGAAAAGTACAGATTGGTAGTGACAAAATTGTCAGGGGGATGTAAAGTACAGCATATGAGTTATCATTATATGAGTTATAGTCAATAACTGTGTTTTGTGCCAGTGGGTAATGGAAATACTAGGGGGATCACTTTGCAAAGCATATGATTGTCTAACAATGATGCTGTACAGCTGAAAGTAATATAAAATAATATTGAATGTGAACTGTAATTGAAAAATAAAAATTAAAAAATTTGAGATGGAATCTGAGTGGGTAGGTGTGTTCTTATATCAGTTCCCAATGTTGTAGGAGGCATGAAGTAAAAACATTACAGGCCCTGGCCTGGTAGCTCAGTTGGTTAGAGCATCATCCTGATATACCAACACCAAGGTTGTGGGTTTGATCCCTGGTCAGGGCACATACAATAATCAACCAATGAATGCATAAATAAGCGGAACAACAAAACAATCTCTCTCTCTCTCTCTCTCTCTCTCTCTCTCTCTCTCATCAATTAAAAAAAACAACAACAAAACTCCATTACATTTTAGTCCCCAATCTCTCTCTTTCACACACACACACACACACACACACACACAGCTTGCACATATAGTCTCTCCCCATTGCCAGATAGTCCATCTACCAAGAAATTGTTCTGAAACAAAAAGTATACCATCAGCCTCAAGGCCCCAAAGTGCTTTTTCTCCCCTACCTTTCGGAGTTTTCGAATGACCAGGGTGAGAAGAAGCCAGAAAAGAGTAGCTGCAAGGCCAGTACAAACAAGAATAATGACTTCAATATTGGATTTGTCTTCAGAGCCTGTAAAGACATTGAAGACAGAATTTATTACAATAAAAATGAGTTAGTACATTGCAGAAATTGAGAGAAAGAAAGAGAAAATTACTGCCTTTTACAAATCACATTTTATTTCTAAAGGACAAATATCACCAAGTGCCAAATTGTGTTTGTGCATACGTAAAAATTTTATAGAGTATGGGCATTGTCTTCTGATACTTAGAGAAAAAAAAATCCTTGATAATTGTACTAGATGACTCAAAAGAATGAGCTGAACAAATATTGTATACAGACATATATCTGAGGCAGAAAGCCAAAATGAAACATTTAAAGTTATGCTCTACCTAATTAGCTGGCTCTCAAGGACAAAGCCAAAATAGGTGTGAGGTATGGTGTCACATTGCCTGAGTTGAAATCCTGGCCCTAACCACTTAACAGCTGCATGACCTTGAGGAAATTACTAACCTTTCTGTGCCTCAGTTTGCCCATCTGAAAATGGGAATAATATAGTTATTATTTAAATGGGCAAACTGAGGCACAGAAAGGTTAGTAATTTCCTCAAGGTCATGCAGCTGTTAAGTGGTAGAGCCATATTTCAGAGATTAATCAATGAAGTTATATGCATATATGCGTAGCCCACGGACAGACAATAGTATGGGGAAGGCCTGGAAAGGGGATGGGATTGTGGTAGTGGGGATCAATAGGGGGTAAAAGAGGGACATCTGTAATACTTTCAACAATAAAGAAAAATTTTTAAAAATAAAAGTGGGAATAATAAAATACCTGCCACATAGGGTTATTAAATGAGATAATGAGAAGTGAAAATAGCACAGTATAGAGTGTATAACTTATTTTATCTATCTTATTATTACCAGTTTCCCATTTTTTTAGTTCAGATTCTGTGGATTATCTCAGACAAATGTGAGGCCGGATTTTAAATAAGCTTATATGGTTTGCCTGATATGACCTAGAAGAGTATAGCTAGCTGAATGTGCAAAAGGCTTTAGAGGTGCCAAGATGGTTAGTCCAACCCATAGCATTTCTTTGAACAGATACAACTTTACCTTTAACAATTAAATACTCATCATAATAGCATAGGACATTGGAATCAAACACCTTGCTACAAGCTTTAGCAAGCGTCTTACTTTCTTTGGGCTTCATATTTATAATGAAAGGTGGTCAACTTTCTATTTTTATATTTCCAAATGCCATCAATATTTTCCAACCAACAAAAGGGAAGTAATGTCATTTGATACATTATATTTTGTAAAACATTCCCATATCTTGGCCTTCATTTGTATCACCTCTGAAAAAATAGAGCACAGCTGGTGTTATTCTCATTTTAGAAATGAGAAATCTGAAACCCAGAAAGGCTTATGTACGATCCCATCAAGTTTGCAACAAGTATAGGGTTCTGAATCCAGGTTTTCCAAATCATGCTATTCCACATACCTTCTCATTGAAAGTGGATATATTAAGTGTATATCCATGTTTGCCTTCTCCATTGTCTCTCCACACTGTGTCCCCATCACCAAATGCATTTTCTTTATTTTTGGGGTTCCATTACTGATTATCAATATAGCTAGGAATTTCCAACTTACCTTCCACAGTGATAAGAGCTGCTGTGCTGACTTCCCCCAACTCATTGGTTGCTTTGCACAGATAGAAGCCCTCATCTTCTTTTTTGGCTCGCTCAATAATAAGGCTGTTGTTCTTAAAGAAGATTCCTGCATCAACAATGTTCACCATTATTTTTGAAGTGTTTGCACTGAAGCCAAGTCTTAGAATATGTCAAGCCCCTATTTTATTAAGTCAATCTTGGAACAGTTTCAAAGTCAAGTAATCTCAAAGGAGCTGCACCAACTCAAGCCCTCCTGACTGGAAACAACTACATAAGATCTTCAGACTCACCTGAAGCAGGAATAATAGGAACCCCATTTTTCAACCAGTGGATGTTAGGCTGTGGTGTTCCACTCACTTTGCAATCCAGCAAAATCTTTCCACTGCTGTTAACCTCAATATTGGTAAGATTCTCAATAACGAATGGAGCAACTTTTTCTATAGAGAATAGGGTAAAAAGAGGCAAGATTTTTGAGGAAGAGTACCACATATACATCACTTAATCTCTGTTTTACCCCGCATGTTTAATCAGACATTGGATGGTTAAATGTTACCCTATGCAGGAAAAGAGAAGATAGATGGGGATAAAATCTACTGTAAGAGTAATGTGTGTGGTGGTTTGCATTTTTTATTCTTCAAGGTCATATTTAGCCACCACAAGCAATAAAAGTGGCTGCTGACGAGTTTTGGTATTAGAAGGACCAAAAATTCCATTCCCAAATTTTTCTATCATCTGTTTAACACAGAGTATACAAGATCCTTTCCTTGAAATGTCTCCAAGAGGCTTTATGAAACAAAAGATTGACTGGTCCAGCCTATAAGTAAGTTATAAATAAGTAAAAGCCCTATTCTGGTTCCACATCCCACACAGTAGTTGTCTTAAATGCTAAAAAGTTATGGGGAAGTCCCTCCAATTCTACCTCTAATTAAGAGCTGAGTGTTATGTTGCATTATCTTGGTGATGTTCCTCTGAGTCCAAGCCTTGCACTTATACTGCCCTTTATCCTTCTGGGTCACATTCTTAATCACCAGTGTCAAAGAGATGGAGTAGTTATTTTTTAAGCTTTCTGTGTATATAACAGGAATCTTCTCTCCAAAGGGGTTGAACCAAGCGAGCTGAGTGTAGATATATTTAGCTGCCTTGCATTTGAGCCGAGCATCATAGCCCTCAATTGTTGAGACCAGGGGTTCTGCCTCCATGAAGCCAGTCACATCTGTGAGGGTGAAGAAATGTCACTGTGAATATGACAAAGCCAGAGAAACTGACATACAGCAACACGCTTAGTTCTTTTTCCTGAAAGCCAAGTTGTAGAAACAAAACATATCCCATCAAGGACAAATGTCCAATAGTAAAGACCCAATTACCTTGAGTTTTCAGGATCATTCCAGTATTATCACCAGAGTATTACAGAGTCTGAGAGTCTGCCAATATGGATGTCTAACATACATACGGTCCAACTTACAAACCTTCAAAGCAATTCCCTCATGTTAACTTTAAAAACAAACCTGAGACAAATATCACCAACCTAATTTCATAGATTAAAATAGAACATAAATCCAAATAAATGGCAGAAACAAGCCTGAGACACCAGGTCTACTGATGTGAGTTTTCATTTTTGCAATTTCATGCTGCCACTCCACAGGTAAGTTCTTATTTTGGAATCTACATTACAGATGCTTTTTGTTGAATTAAAACATGATATGTACAGGAAAATAGTACTTAAATGCAAAATTCCTCTAGAAAAAAGGGTAGTGCAACAATTTTAAGCACTGAATAGTTTATCACAGATGTGATTGGGAAAGAAAATAGACAACTTTGTGAAAATGAAACTCTGGATAGCCAGTTTTTACTTGAAATATAGCACGCAAAAACACTTGTAATCCTTTTTGTAAATAGGATTGATATAAATTATAAAGAAATAATTGACTACCATACCAATGTTCTCACCCCCAAAAGATACATCAATTTTCACAAATGAACATTACACACATACACACACATACATACACACACACAAATTTTCATACATTTTATTTTAAATAGAAATGACTACAAATAGCCTGGGGAGAATAGTTTTTGGATAAGAACAACTGGTTGTCTTGAACCAGGCCTAGAGGTTTTAATCCATTAGTTTTGTGGGGGAGGCATGTCTTTTGGGGGTCAGGAATGATAAAAGGCATTCTTTCAGTCAAAGCTTTGTAATTAGAATTAAATGATTAAAATTTTCTACTTGCCATGCCATTGTATTATCATTTTGGTGGCTATTTGCTTCAAGCACCCCGAGAATTGCTCAAGTTTTCTCTACCAATATTTATATTGATGAAGTCTACCTCTTTTTAAAAATATACTAATATTTTGTATTAGGGCTCACAGAATGTTTTTACAAAAACGAATAATTTTTTGTAAATATATATTTTATTGATTTCAGAGAGAAAGGGAGAGGGAGAGATAGATAGATACATCAATGAGAGAGAATCATTGATCAGTTGCCTCCTGCATGCCCTGTACTGGGGGATTGAGCCTGCAACTCAGGTATGTGCCCTGACCAGGAATCAAACCATGACCTCCTGGTTCCTAAGTCTATGCTAAACCACTGGGCAACACCAGCCAGGTTAAAATAATAATTTCTTAATGCCTTTTATTTAATATCTCTTGCATCACTCTAGAATTCAGTGATGGCGAACCTATGACACCCGTGTCAGAGGTGACATGAGAACTCATTTTTTTGGGTTGATTTTTCTTTGTTAAATGGCATTTAAATATATAAAATAAATATCAAAAATATAAATCTTTGTTTTACTATGGTTGCAAATATAAAAAAATTTCTATATGTGACACGGCACCGGAGTTAAGTTAGGGTTTTTCAAAATGCTGACACGCCGAGCTCAAACGGTTCGCCATCACTGCTCTAGATTCAGTGTTGGTTTTTTAAAAATATATTTTGGGGGTGGGGCAGGTAGAGGAGGGTAAATGGTGATGGAAGGAGACTATGCTATGGGTGTTGAATACACAATACAATATATATGTTGTATTATAGAATTTTACACTTGAAAAATTTTTTAACCCATGTAACTTCAATAAATTCGATAAAGTCTACGTTTTAATGAGTCAGAGCAGTGATGTTCTTGATTGAAAAATATGGCTGTCTAAACAGTTGAGCTGACAATTTTCAAATTCTGGGCCCCTGTTATCTAATCCACTCAGTAGTGAACCTTCATATCCCTGAACACTAGCATCAAATTGTTGATGCAGAAGGCCCATTGATTTAGTCATGTGTACCAGTAAATGATTGCAGAGCATGGAATAATTGGCCCTCCCCCCTAGACCAATCCTTCCTTTAAAATTTTCTGTGGTTGAAGAAACCTTTTTCCTATAACCAAGAATAAAAACCTCACTTTTATCTTTGATCCTTCTCTCCCCCTCACATTCCACATCTCACCTCCCATCACTTGCCAAATCCTATCAATTGTTCCTTTGGCATAACTTTTCCTCACCCTTCCTTTCTGTCTCCACTATGTAGCTATCCCATTGTGGGTAGTCATTACCTCATTCCTGAACAATTAAATGCTTTCCTAACTGGGTTGCTCTCCTCCAGTCTCACCATACACCAAACAATCTTCACAGGCTACTTCATTCATCCTCCTGGACCATAATTTTGATCAAAACCACTATCCAAAGCTTTAAATGACTCCCCACTGCCTCCAAATAAAGTTTATATTCCTCTCTCACTTATTCAAAGTAGGCTTCTCTAAGGCTCCTCATCAACTCTTCCTCATCAACCACATCATCTATCTTCTCCAGAAATCCTCTGTTTTGACCTGCCCAATTGTTCCACATGCTCCACAAATATTTCACATTGGCTTATGCTAATCTTCCAATGCCAAGTAAAAATGTATATCCTCAGACAGTTCTTCTCTGTCCACCCACTCCAAAATAGGCTTCTCCAGCTGTGACCGGTTTGGCTCAGTGGATGGAGTGTTGGCCTGCGGACTGAAAGGTCCCAGGTTCGATTCCATTCAAGGGCATGTACCTTGGTTGCAGGCACATCCCCAGTAGGGGGTGTGCTGGAGGCAGCTGATTGATGTTTCTCTCTCATTGATGTTTCTAGCTCTCTATCTCTCTCCCTTCCTCTCTGTAAAAAATCAATAAAATATATTTTAAAAAATAAATAAATAAAATAGGCTTCTCCACTCTATCGTAATATTCTCTCTCTTATGCACTTACGACAAGTATAAAATGTCTATTCATTTATTTGTTTATTTGTTTACTGTTTCTTTCCATCACTGCAATGTAAAGTCTATGAGGAAAAGAACCACACAAGGTTTGGTCAGTGCCATAGTCCTAACATCTAGCATAGTGTTTATCATGTCACAGTTGCCTAATAAATATTACTATAATGAATGAATATTGGTTTGTTAATTCCAATATGTATAACTTTTGCTCATACCACCCTCTTCCCTTAAAATGCCATTCCCAACATCTTTGTTTTTGTGAATAATAACTATTCATCAATCAGTGTTCTGTTGTTTTTGAAGCCCCTTTGGCTATAGTGTGCTGCCCAAATTGACTTCTCCCTTTCTTGGGCTAGTACAATCTGAAATTATATACATAATACCTTGACATATTAGTTACATGTTTCTTTTTACTATCAGTTCATTTGTAAGATGCTTGAGGATAAGTCATGGAGAGTATGAGAAAAATTAATATTCATTTACTGTATTTCATAAAATTGAAGCAAACCATCACATGATGTATTTTTATTTTTATAAATGTCCCTGAGTCTTTTTCATGGATATCATTCTTGTCTCTGTCAATAGCTTGTCTTGACTATTTAGATTATAAAACTGCTTCAAGTAAGAAATCCTTTCTTGGTTATTACAAAGCATTTTATAAACACTCAACAATCATTAACAAATGTTTTAAAATGTTATGATTAATGATCAACTTTTTTGTAATGCAGTTGACAACATATATTGATGGGGATCCCTTAGACTAACTTTTGGGGGATGAGTTTAATATAGCTATGGTTACTGGCCTTAAAACTATTATATATTCAGGCACTGAATGGTCAAAGGGTCTCAGAAAGGTAAACATCCTTGCATCATGCCAGGCTGAATCATGTTTCCTGACAAAAGTTCGCATGTATGTCTGAAATCTTGAGAGATAAAGACAAAGCCCTGAATTCCATGCCATGAAGGTGTTTTTCAGCTATAGCCTCTGAAGCCATTAATGTCTTATTTTAAAAAGTACTGAATACTGGGATGGATGAAATACTTTATTGTTATGGACTAAATTTTTGTGCCCCCCTTCCACCAGTTCATATGTTGAGGTCCTAAAATCCAATGCAATGCTATTTGGAGTTGAGGCATTTAAGAGATAATCTGAAGTTTATATGAAGTCATGAGAGTGAAACCCTTATGATGGGATTAGTGGCCTTCTAAGAGGCAGAAAGACCAGAACTTTCTATCTTTCCACTATGTGCAGAAACAATGAGAAGGCAGACATCTGCAAGCCAGAAAGAGAGCCCTCACCAGGGAACCAAATTGGCCAGCACATTAATCTTGGCCTTCCCCTGACTCAAGAACTATAAGAAATAAATTCATATTGTTTAAACCACCCAATCTGTGGTATTTTGTTATGTAGAGACTTTTAGAGGATACACAAGTAGGTAGGTTACTCTGTTATCTACATTACTGAAATTTACCTGACCAGTGAACCTAATAGGAAGTTATGGTGGTTTTGCTGGTTACATTTGAGCCCCTAGTATCCTCTTTCCTTTTTCTTCCATTTGCCCTATATGGCTATATGGATTTATGGATTTCAAGCCTGACATTTCACAATATGTGCTACTGCCTTCTTTCCCCATCCCAGCCTAATATAGATGTCTCCAATGACTCATGCAAGTAAAATACTTGCTTTCTCATATGTTGTCTACCCTAGAAACCATGACTTATGGGGATCAGATGAAAAAATTCAAGTTTAAAAACCTGGATATATTTTTCATCAGATCTTTGAAGGTCTGTCACTGTGAAGAGTAAGTAAGCTGACAGTCTTTGTTTCAACTTCAATGAATTTAGGAGTCTGGGTAGAAGCAAATTTAGTATAAGGGCAAGCTTTCTCATAGAGATGCCCCAAGATTAAACAGGTTGCTTTGGGAAGTAGGGAAATAGTTTTATATCACCAGGGACACCCAAGCTGAAGTTGAATAATTTC